TGATGGAATGTGTTTGAGGTTTCGTGATGTTGGTGATGATGATGTTGACGACCATGACGGAGTGTAGTTGGTAGGGTGGGGGGGTGGCTAGTAGTAGTAGTAGTAGTAGTAGTAGTAGTGCTAGTACTCGTCGTCGTCGTCGTTACCGGTGTAACACTCTTTGTACAAACACGAACAAAGCTGGCACTGGCGGTCTAGCAAAGACCAAGCTCGGCACGTTAATCACAATCATCAGCCCGACCTCCTGTGGAAAATCCTGGGGAGCCTTGCTGGGCTCGGATGCGACCCTTGCCACTACACATCAAGAAGCCTTTAAACGATGTGAACTGAGAGCTCCACGTTATTGGAGCAGACTGTAACAACACCTGTGTTTCAAGATTCTAGCCGCCAGCACTTCCGAAAGAGAGCTGACCTTCATTCAAAAACGTTTGCAGTCTAATACTCGAACTGCGAAACCAGGTCGGCCGTACCACCATCAGCGGCACCGTTGTCAAAATCAAAGCCAGCGCAGTAGCACACTTTCCAAACCTCGGTGGAAGGGGGTCGCGGCCTTTTCGTAATTTCGAGATTGGCAACAATGCATGCAAGTTTTGTCGCACAGACTCCTTTTGTCGCAAGTCTTTTTTCGGCTCTTCAAGTTGGCAGTCAAAGCCGATCACTTCAGGCGGAGGTCATCTCGTCGCCGGCCCTTCTTTGTGGCCGTGGCCTTGGTGTCCTAAGCAGCGGGACCCCCCTACCAGGACACTTGGAGCGAGACAAAGGCCCCGCTGCCTCCGCCCAGCGTCGATCCGCAGCTGCGACGACGAAGCGCAAAGGAATGCGAAGCTCGGCCTTCCCGACGGGAACTGTTCGGCTGTCTCTGCTAGGCGGACACCTTTCTTGGCTTGCAACCACATCAACAGCCATGGTTCTTGTATGGAGAGGATTGTTTCAACCTGTTGAAATGAGGGCGAGGGAGGTCACTCCGTCCGGCAGTTGGTCTCTGCATCTGCATGGATGTCTGTATGACTTTCTGCCCTCCGCACATCGTAAAGAGCTTATCCACATCTGTCCGGGTTTTGGCCTACTGCATTGCCATGCAAGCTCCCCTGACCCGAGAGGCCGCCTCCGCAGGCGGGCCAAGGCAGGGAGAAGTCATCTGCGATGCGGCACAGCCAAACAGCAAAAGCCGCATCCGAGCTGGCCTGTTCTCCCTTGAACAAACGCGCCAATGAGCTTTCACTCACAGTCTCCGCATGGAAGCCTGACGCTGGCAGAGAACCAAACTTGACACAGCAGGCTCTCTCGCATGCAAGAAGTGGCAAGGTGAAACCGTGTGCCACCATGTCGACGTGCAGAGCCACTTCGAGCTGGGCGAAACTGCATGGACCAGGCAATCGATGCTCCGCGGGAATCCAACGAACCATGTGAGGTCCTGAAGCTTGGAAAGCGATGTATCCAAGAGAGAATACAGTAGGGTTTGGAAGTGCAGAGGCATTGCTCTGAGCATGCTGCCACCGTCTCCTGGAGTCTTCCCAATGCCTGTGCACGACATGCAGCCCTCTGGGCTCGGAACAGCAGCATCTGAAGATGCGGCTCAGGTACTCAGCACCAATATTTTGGAAGTCCGCCTGTGCTTCAAGATTGTCATGCTGTGAGCCGAAACTCAAGCTTGCCTCACCAAGGCCTCGCCCAATGATCTACCCATTTCCTCCTCGCTCTGCCCTTGGGCTCCACTCCAGGAAAGTGTCGCATCCTTGATTTGTCGTGAGAGATAGTCGTACTTTCAGGTAGCTGAATAGACCCGCAGCCGAGTGTCTCTGTGCGGCATCCAGTCTGCTGCCGCCACCCGCCTGATCTCCGTTAGGCCGTTAGGCGTACTTACGAATGCACCTGCGTTGCAGGATCACAGCCATTGACACACCAACCCTCCCCATGGCAAAGTGTTAGCACCTGACCTCCGCCCCAGTGCACGGGCATACCGTGCAACGGAGAGCCAAGTGGCCTGAGAACTCAACACCTGAAGCTCTACAAATGTATTGGTCCAACATGCAAAGCTTCTATGGAACCGAGCCACCATGTCTCTCGGACGCTAGTGTGTCGACGACATGCTCTCAAAAGGTGCTTCGGCGATGTCGGATAGAGAACTTATCACGCCGCTTTAGATCCGTGCTCCAACTGTTTGCACCAGCATGATCCAGCATGATTGTTGGATCCAAAGGGGATGTCTGAAAGCAAGAACTGTGCGGATGCTCATGTTCTTGCACTGCGGTCGGCTCTGCTGCTTGGGCAAAGCAGCATTGTGTCTAGAGATGGCCAGCAAACGCACAACCCAAGTCACTCTGCAAAGCAAAGCTTTCCGTCTCAGCGCTGTACACCAAGACCAAAGCCATCTTTGATGAGCCCGAAGTTGTGGATCTCAATCAGAGTCCAACATCAAGTGTCGCATGTCTGGAGAACTTGCGGCACAAGTCAAGTCTGGGTTGCTACACCTCTGGTCCCAGCAAATACTTAGCTGTAGTGCTGAGCCTCGAAGCCAATCTCATTGCTGACATCCGACACCTTCCACGCGCAAGACTTGTTGTCATGTGCTGTTTTCCAGTGCACGGAATATTCCATGGGAGGGCCTTGTTAATAAAGGGAGCAGCATCAACCGCTCCTCCACATGCCTGCAACATTCAAGCTTCGTTTTGCGTCTACTCTGAAGTGTCTGCTCGTGTCTGGGTGCAGCCTGGTTCACATAAGTCAGACTGGACCTCCATGGAGGATACGCTGGGTTTGGCCTGCAGAGCGTCTTGCATGCAGTCCCTTGGGCAGCTCGATCCTCAATGAGATTCCGAACCTCCGAGTTCCGGGCATTCCAAGAAGCATAAACTCATCTGTCATGTTGTTTCTCTTGTAACCTTGAACCTGTCTCGGGAGGAAACGCAACTCTGCAGACAGCCTCGTGCTACTAGTAGCACCCGGTGCAAACGTCCAAACGCCTTGCCGGTACACTCGCACCCTGTGATACTGGGGTCGAACTTGCATTCCCTCGGCCATCATGCATTAGGAGCTCAAGCGACATCAACTTTGTGACTGGCATGACTGAAACTATAGTCGCCGCAAAGCATGTCTTGGGCCGCGTGCTGCCGCGCCAGGCTGGTGACTGGACACCTGCCATGCAGAATGGCATTCCGTGCTCAATTAAAATACCACGACGTATGAAAACATGACAAAGCGGCCAAAACTTGTTGGTCGTGCTTTCAGCACCGAAAACAGATATACTTGGCTCCAGTTCCTGATCAGGGGATGGCAGATGTCCTACGGCTTTTGCACATCATGCTGAAGAGACAGGTGTGTCACAGAACCAGTGCCTGCCATTGAATTCCATCAGGCGAATAACAAATGCGAAAGAGGCCGCCGTTGGGAAACGTCAGCGGGCCAAAGACGTTGCGGATCGTCTGAGAGAAGCATCACACGAATGCAAGCAAGTTCATCAACTTTATGCTTGAGCTGCACACCTCCGGCGTGGTGCCCGGTACCACCGCATTTTCGGCCCCATCTCAGTTGCAGAAATGATGTCCAAGACATTCCAAAACAAGCCATGCGGGGAACACGGTACGGGTAAATGAGATGGAACTTTCCGGACAGCTCGTGGCACTTGCTGGGATGCTGCCGCGCAGCTGAAGGGAAATCCCATGTAAGCCTGAACTGTCTCACACGTCTGCAGCCTGGGCCGTGTGCACTGCACAGGGATGCAGACTTCCCACTTGGAACGGAAATCTGTCCGCAGTGCAATCCGCCCGAGACTGGGACGTCGATCTCATGTCATACGGTACCTGCTTCAGCGCTTGCTGCAGCTTCTCCCTCAACGCTCAGCTACAAATATCAAACTGGCATCAATCGGAGGCATACTGAACCTATGCATCCAAGCTGCAAGCTTTGCTCGGATGTCCTGCTTGGACACTCCCAAGCCGGACCTGACCGTTATGTCCGACAAACTGTAACACAACAGAGAAACAAACAAAGAGTTGAAGAACCTGTAAGTCTCCTGCAATGCATGAATTACGAAGCGATTGTACTCAACGCCAGCTCTAACGTTCACCTGGCAGCTAACTGTCAGGCCAAACACCAAAGGCACACACTCGGGTAGTCTGCAGAAACTGGACTAGACCCCTGTGGTTAAATGCTCACATGCACATTTACACAATCGTCGGGGCAAACGGGAGAAGTTGGCCGGAGGATGTGACTGCGGCTCCGATGACATGTGCAACATCTTGGATGACAAACGAAGTGACTCGGGCATCGCCCCGCAAGTCCCCCCACAGCTACGCACGACAAGCATTGGCCCTCAGGGTGGTCTTCGTCCTCATTTAGGATCAGCAACTTACCAGATCAATCAAGCTTCAATCGTCATCGGCTGACTTGCTTGTCCTCAACAAGCGCCTGTTTGCAAAGGCAATCGCAAACTGCACAGAACTGAGGTTGGATCAACGAAACTGGCCACAGGCCAGAGCCAGCACCGGGCAGAAACGTTCTCCGGCCGTGGCATTTCAAAATGTCGTGTTGACCGGCAAATCGCTGCAATGCACCTGCTGGTGGATCATTATGAGATCGACTCGGCCATTGCCCCGCAAGTCCCCCGACAGCTACGTGCGACAAGCATTGGCCCTCAGGGTGGTCTTCGTCCTCATTTAGGATCAGCAACTTACCAGATCAATCAAGCTTCAATCGTCATCGGCTGGCTTGCTTGTCCTCAACAAGCGCCTGTTGACAAAGGCAATCGCAAGCTGCACAGAACTGAGGTTGGATCAACGAAACTGGCCACAGGCCAGAGCCAGCACCGGGGCAGAAACGTTCTCCGGCCGTGGCATTTCAAAATGTCGTGTTGACCGGCAAATCGCTGCAATGCACCTGCTGGTGGATCATTATGAGATCGACTCGGCCATTGCCCCGCAAGTCCCCCGACAGCTACGTGCGACAAGCATTGGCCCTCAGGGTGGTCTTCGTCCTCATTTAGGATCAGCAACTTACCAGATCAATCAAGCTTCAATCGTCATCGGCCCCTTTGTTCTTCCTCTAGGTCTCCACGCACACATATGCTTGCGTCTTGCCCTGAGTTGACTGGCTGTTCTGGTAATGGGCATGGCCTAGAAGTGTCATATATCTATATCCGTAAACATCACCTCTGCTGTAACACAGGATTACAGCACATCAACTCCTCAGCTTGAAACTAGGCAGAACGACATTCGTGCTGCTCTGCGGCTCCACCTGACGTCGGAAGGGCGGCACGGCTGCAGCATACGTTCTTGCACAAAGGTTTCATGCGGCCTGTATGTTGGAGCCGTCCACAGGAAACACTTCAAAAGAAACCTGTACAGCCGTGGCACGCCTGCACGGATCAAGAGGACAGCGGCACTAAAAGAAGCAGCATGGATATGCGGCTATGCACGCAATAGAGTTGCTCAAACCTACCGGACAGCCTGGGATCTGCAGCCTCGGCATTGCCTGTGCATGGCTCATGAAAATGTTGTCGGTCTCTCTTTGAACAGGTCCTGGAGTCCTGTCCTGCAGTTGCTCCGCCAACTTCAAGCGCAATACACGAGAACACCAAAAGTGCTCTGCATGCCATAGGTTGGCCGGCCTGAAAACAACCAGGCTTGCTTGACGTGCTGCGACCGTTCTACGCACATGTTTGCTGCAGTCTTGACCAAAGTCCCGCAACCGGTGCTGGTTGCAATGAAGCGATCTGCAATCATTGTTGGGTTCATGGCTCTGCGGCGTATTCTTTTTGACGAAATCCTGGCAGAGTTCACCGGAAAACAGCAAGAACATCAACAACCATCGACAGCAGGCGATCCTGCGTGTTGATCTGCTTCTCACGAAGCACATTAGCTTCAGAGGCCTTGTGTTGTAGTGCTCTCATGCGTGACCACGATCTTCCAGCAAAATCTGAGCTGATAAGAATCGCACATGGCAACAAAGGCATGCCAGATGCCACTTTGGAGCACTCTGCTCGCCTGGCTTGCAACCATGACCTCAGTACAAAGCCATCGTTGTGAAACATGCTAGACTATGGAGTGCTGAGGCCGAGGCGGTGCCTATGGCCTGGTTAGACTACATGGGAAATTGCATCCGTTTCATGTGGCTGGGAAGGATACATCGTGGTGTCTTTTGGGGTTGCACCTATGCGGACAAGAAACAACAACTTCGACATGTCAGTCGACTGTTAGTCTGGCTGTTGTATGAAGGCAACAAACGGTCTTCATTGTGCACATTGTGAACTTGAGTTCAATGCCGCGCTTCATGTTCGCACGACAACTGCATCTTCTCGATTTAGTTCTATTCTTAAACATGAAACATGTGAGACTACAACAGCTGCGGGGCTTCTGAACTTGCCATACCAGAATCTAAACATTGTTAGAGGGTGCGAGTTTCGTTGACAGTATCGAAAAAGGGAAACTCAGAGACAACCGCATAAAGACCGAAGCACCAGCCTCGAAAAACACAAAGGTGTCACTAACCAGCGATCTCTTTTATGAGCGGGACCGGAAAATGCTTGTAAGCAAGATCGGGAGGGGAGCGATCCATGAAGCACAAATCACGCAAACCAGATCTTGAGGGTAAACATGCCGTTTTGGCATTTCGTTTTGAACGACATCAATGTTACGAGTAGCTGCAGATGCCGTGACTCGGAACTCCAAAAGTGTTTTGCGTGTTCTGTAAAGAGCCATTGGGAACAGCGTCTGCCCACTTTGCGCATCCATTGCCTCACCCGGTAAACATTCAGAAAACCCTTGCGTCCTCCACATTTCCCAATTTGACAGCTCACATCTCGAAACCCTAACACATCACGCTAATGCCATTGAGCTGCAAAAGAGCCTAAACGAAGTTCAGGATTGCTTCGAAAATGCATGCAACATTCGCAAAAAACACCAGGTTCCCTGACAGGGTCCGAAGGGACCACGAAAACTGGTCAGCCAGTAAAGCAAACTTCCAGCTCCAGCAACGCGATAGCTCCCGTTCCAGACTGCATCCCAGCTTCTCCAGAAAAACAAAAAAGTTGTTCAGGCAGAAACACACACTGACATCCGCGCACACAAAAGAGCCATTGCGGCACCGAATGCCATGGCTTAAACCGGCTGCAGAAAACCCGAGGCCCGAGAAGTCTCACAACCATCTCCAGAAGATCATCGAGATTCTTCTCGGTTTCGGATCCCCAGGCGTCTCCCCATCCTCATTCTTTTTCTCGTCTTTGTTCACCTGGGCTTCACGCCTCTCACGCGCTGCTCTCTCCAAGCTCCTCCATGCAGCCATGACCTGTGCCGATCATTTTTAGGTGCTCTCACAGGCACCTCCACTGGGACAAGCATCGGGAGTCGCCCAGAAGGCTCCAACACAGGCCTGTAGAAGATTCTGCGTCACGACAGTCGATGCGACAAAGCTCTTCCGTCAAGGCAAACTGAGGCACACCCAGTCGAGGGAGCAGCACCTGAAGCAAGCACCTCAACTCTGGGCCTTTTAGCCTCTTCTTCTTGCTCATAGCAACCAAGGTCTATCTGAAGCTTCCTTCAAATCATCGAAGTGAATCCGCACATGCGAATCACCACTAAAAGATGCATTCGTAAGTACATCTTTTGCTTCAACATGTCAGCATTTGGTGCTTGTGCCACTGGGCGGCGTTGTCCTGCGCCTTTTTGAAGGGAAGCGCGCTTCACAAGGGCGCAGACGTTTGGGTGCTTCAGGATGGAGTTCGGACACAAGAGTCAGCTTTCCAAAACTTTGCACAGATTTTGCAGCGAATGGAGCAACTTTCTCGAAGTTGCCTTTGTTCTGCACACGAATGACGATTGCTGCCATTTCGCAGTCTTATTGTTTTCTCTGTTTTTGTGCTTCAAATCTCCATGTGTGGTTTGCTACAGGTTTCATGTCGGTTTCAAAGTTTCGGTCTTTTTGAGAGCCTCGAATACGGGTTCCAGTGTTGCGTGTCTGCTGTGCGTCTCAGAGCATCTGGTTTTTTTCAGTTTGTCAGGTTCCGTTTTGTGCAAGTTTCCTCTAGATTTTGCAGGTCTGCTAGTTTTCTGTGGTGTACTTTGGATTTCTTGCGTTTGTTGTTTCTGTCTGTGTCTGTCTCCAAAGTTCCTTCGTCT